CCATGCGGCAGAGACATCTTACGGCCATTGGAGGCATAATGGCGCTAGTTTCAAAGTCCCCCATTGCAGGAGCACTTCTTCTCTGAAGAAAGAGTCCTCTCAGTATTTCTAGCATTTCTTTGCTAAAGGAAGAATTATCCTTAGTATTTCTGGAGTATCACAGACAATTGCGTTTTATGATGCTGAGTGATTAGTGGTATTTGCTAATCAATCACAAAAAGAGATTGGCGGCTGGTGCTACCAGCCAGTTGCTTTTCTGGTAGCAGTTCAAGTAGAAAAAATACAATTGAGGAATAACAAGACAATTGTGCATTTCACAAATACATTACTTATTTATGACCATGGTTTCGCCAGTAAAAGCATCATGAAGTACAGACTGAAATGTTTTGTAACCTTGACATTCACCTAGAGACACGTGGGGAGGAGCTTAAGCTGCTTTGGTTGTTAGAACTTTTTCTGGATTTGTTTGTAGACTTCTATTTATTTCTAAAATTTCCATGCTATCTAGTTTTTTACCTTTTTTCACAGATATGTAAAATTTTGTTTTTTTTTCTTGGATCAAATTGATGTTTAGTTTCAATAAAGTGGGATGCAAAGGTTGAATCAATTTTTCTTAATTTCTAGCTGCTAGAATATTATTTAACTCTCGTTTCTATGGAAGGTCCTGTTTGACGTACAATTTTCTTGTTCTTCTTTAATTTTGTAATTATGGAGTTTCGCCAAATACCTACGGTTTCAAGATCAATTCTAGAAAAAATAAAATTGGCAGTGGGTACTAACAGACAGTTGCTTTCCCTCTATTCTGAAGTTTAGAATCAACCCATTATGTAGCTTTGTGCTTAATAACAAACATAATAGCAATATGTTGATTACTTGGATAGAAGGAATAATCGGAAACATTAATTTTGATTAATCAATTTAATTATATTTTCGATTAATTTATTTCATTTTACTTGACACTAATCGATCGCTACTAGGCAGTTGGTTATATTGATTAAATTACCCAGCTCTAGCCAATCCCATAACAAATTCCCACTTAATCATATTTTTCTGTATGCCTTCAAATTTAGTATTTATCATTTCCACATTGATCAGAAGAATAAGCAACGACTCAAGTCTCTCCCACAACTGTTAATAGAGGTGTAAAATGAATAAAGCATATCTACCCAATAAATATTGTTTTTTTTTACCTTATATTCTCCTTACATTGTTACTATTCCAAGGATGTTGTTTTATGTTTAGCAAAGGAGTTATTAGAGCACTGGTCTGTTATTCTAGCTTCAGTTAGATTTTGTAATTCATAATTTAATAATATTACACAAAGTTACAGGGGTCCCACTGATAAAAAAAAAGCTTATTTGAAACTTATTTGAAATGTAGTGCATATTTGACAAATTCTTTTTTGGTCTCATCTGCAACAAAAAACATTTTGCAACATATATGGTACCATTTTACAGTTGAAAAATGCATTTAGTTTCTAAGGCTTTACTCTATTGAGATGCATCTCAAACAAATTTTTTTTTGCTTATCATATGAGCAGTTTGTATAAGGAAGGATGCAAATTTTTATTATTTTCAAACTGTCATTAATCATTTCTAAAAAAAATTCCTATAATTATGTCTATCTTTCCTCGTTCAAAATATTTTTTTAACCATGTTAAGGAGATATGCATCTACCACACTACCCAATTTTATCATTTAATTTTGTGTACCCCTTATGTTCACAAATTTTAAAACAAAATAAGCAAATTATTCTATGTGACAGGTAACTAGAGCCTATTCTTTCAACATAACTGCCAATTTCACTTTCTACTTTTTTTTAGAAACACAGTCACCTTTCCTGCTGCCACAAGGCTCCTTAACATTTCCATCATGTTCAGTAAAGTTTTCCTCATCACTCTGTTTTTCCTGAATAGGTTTTGGAATGTAAAATTTAAGTAAAGATTCCTGTTTCTTTATGATCTACCAACAAAGGCAGGATGTAAGCTTGCTTGGACTGTGAATCCAAGGAATCGTGGTTTGCTATTCATTGATGTAAAAAATTCACTCCATACTTTGGGGCCAGTGGTGCATTATAAGTGACAGTCACATCCCATTATTTAATCAGTCACGAGTAGGTCATGAGTTGATGGCAAGTTTTGTTGACTAGTTGCCTTCCCTCCAGTCTATCAGTTCAAAATTAGAGATAGCTATTTGCATATAGCCCTTGTGTAGCTTTGCACAAACTTGTTAATCAAAATTTTGTATTTGAAGTAATACTAAAGCAGTGCTGATTAATTCCATCTTGTAAAGTTAGTTGTTGCACCACAATTTCTTAAGTTTAAAATTTATAAGTGCATTTTTTTAACAATTTCATAAATTAGTAAAAACTGGTGCTACACTACTCTAAAATTTGACTCAAAAGTCTACTGTATCCTAAAAATAACTAAATGAGCAAAACATTTTGTTTCAATAATGCAGTTTATTCAAATCTGCTTTTAACTGAAACATAATTTATTTACAAATAATTTTTGTGTATGTTAACAATAAAAACCTTTTTCAAACTTACACAAAGAGAGATATATATTAGCAACTTCAACTGGTGCACTAAATTTTTGAAAGCAAAGAAAAAACAAAACATACTGTGCATTTATACCAGCACCTGTGGCCTTGATAACATTCCAAAATAAGAGCTGCCCTTAAGACTTAATTAAATTGTGATATTGGAATTATCAGCTTTATTATTATTTTTTTTTATAAGTATTTCTGGTTCACAAAAATTCATTCACACTTGCTAGACATAAAAAACCTCATAACAGTATCTAAGGGACTAGAGTTTAGATAAGCCTGTCTTATTTTTCAAACAGATGGCATACTTAGGTATAGAAATAATGTGTATAGCAGGAGTGTTGATCTTTTGTTCATCTGATAGATAATTTCCTACTGTCTTCAGTCCCCACACAACACAGTACCCTTTGTTAATATGTACATAATGCAGTGAGCATGTACACGATGCAGTGAGCTTTGCTAAACGTATACGTGTACATGATACAATGAGATTCAGAGCTCTGCTAACTGCATGTACATTTACATGATGCAGTAGGATTTGCCAACATATATAATACAGGGAGCTATGCTAATGTGTATTTACATGTATATGATGTAGTGAGCTCTGCTAATACATATGTGCACACAGATGACATAGGAACAACAGACAGAGCAAGATCAAGGAGATTTTGAATACTGTTTCAAACAGTAGTTTTATCTAGACCTCCAAGATACCTAGGCTAGATTTATATAAACTTGCAATACCCAGCAAAGTGCAAAATTGGTCTTAGGGATTTCTGGGCAAAAGATAAATAACAAACCTAGAACAAAATAACTGACATTCCATAATAAGTGAATCAATCAAAGACTACATGAGCCACCAAAATATTATGTAAAATTGCACTAAAACATCAGTTGAATTAAGTATTTCAATCATCTAAAAAGCCAACAACTCAAATGTTATATAACCTCTATTGAAACTAAGAATCAAACAGTGGCTATTTACATAACAGTATACTCTACATATTATGTTAATAAGGAAGCAGCTGATTAGATACTATAAATTAAATCAATGGAAGTCTTGCTAAATACACAACAGCATATTTAATGAATTACTGGCTGATTAGAATATAGTATATATTATTTCAGTTAAGACTAGCTTAATTAATTAATAGCTGATTAAACAGATAACAACAAATGTTAATGAGCTCTCAATGTATCAACTAAAAGTAATCCATTAAAGAAGCGGCTGATCAGAAGAATAGTATATATATTACTTTAGTTAGGATTAGCCAAGTGGAAAATAAATTATTTCAATTAATATCTGACTAAATATAGAACAGTATTCATTATTATAATAAAAAACTGGCAAATTAGAAAGCAGAATTATATTACATTTAACGACTGCCTATATAGATAAAATACAATATTTCAAAAATGGATTGGTTGATTAGAGAACAGTATAAAACTGTCTAATTAATGACTAGTTAAATGGACAAAAAACATGTTACTGATCAGGCAAGTATCTATGATGTTAATAAATAATTACTTCATTAGACATATTATGCATATTCCTTTGTTCTCCAATACTGTTCTAATTCATAATGATATAAATAAATAGACACGTCAATATCACCATACCTTCTTATACAGTTTCTAAAAACATCATACCAGTTTTTTGCACTTTTCATTCTATATAAAAATCTAGCTATGGAAGTTATATATTTGAGAAATGTATCAACTAGTACAAGTTACATTTATACAATGAGAACAATAAATTTCTACAACTACTTCATATTCTACTATTGTACAATGCTGTTGAGACTTTTAAACCTGTTCTGTACAATATCAGAAACTTGCAAAACAAATCTATAGTTGTCAAGTTTGAGATATTTCACATCCAAATATTCTATGTCATTTGTGTAGCTAATTTGCTTAGTTTTGGCATAACAACAGCTATTATGGTTTTGAAACATAAGAATGGTAACTTACTATAAAAACAGAACATGTGGCAAGGATAGCTACTGAATACAGCTATATCATGATGTATGATGTTTTTGGTTATTATTTACTCATCACACTGAACCTATATTTATGTAGCACTTTGTAGGATTTAATGTAAAGTGTTTTACTCATACTATTGCATACTTTGGTGAGAAAAAGAAATATTTAAAAATAAAATGTAGCATTCTCTAGGGTTATTGATGAGGGGTGGATTTCTATAAAACTGGTAAAGACTCAGTGTCAAATGGTGAATGGAATGATAGACTTAGGTTCATATTTATTTTTAGATACATCATGTTCTAAGTAAATATGCCAATTTAAGCATAAACAACTTTTCAATTGCACTGCAAGAAAAAAAAACACATGAGACAAACTGTATTTGTACTGATTCTCTCTTGCCCCACCATTCATAGCTGATACCTCCTGTTGATAAGCAATGCACAAATTTTCTTTTAATTGAATTAGATTTACATACCGAAAACTATATCTACCCTGTATCTTCACCATCTCTATGACAGACACATCACAATTAGCCTCTATAACAAAGTATTATCATACACAGACTTACAAGTGCCTGTGTTAGCTGAAGCTTCAACATATGACATCATCTGTCTTCTTTCTCCTGTGGTGCTAGTGGCACCAATATACCCAGACCATTAGAATTCTTAAATTGTTTCTTACAATATTAACCAAGTTACACACTGCTAAAATGTTGCACAACTATAATCTCTATAACAATATACATACAGAATCAAGAAATTACTCTATCTTTTTAAAGTTATTTTCTTTGATGAACAATCATGGTCAAACAATAATTTTGAACTCCGAACATATTAAAATGAACAATAATAACTTATAATTTAAAATTTCAGCTCTTCAATGTTTCTGGAAAAACTAGTTCTTATGTAAACAATAAATAAATTTTAACTACCTAATTACAAATTTCTGTAGTATTATATAACAATGTAGGTAATCAATAACAAGACTACAACTAAAACAGTAAATCCAGAAGATAAATCTGATGCTTTAACTTTTTTTTAATCCACTCAGTCTAAACAATAAAGAGTATAAATAATGTTTATACTCTTTCTAAGAGTAAAGAAAACTGAAATATGCTGCTCAATCTGACTAAAGCATGCTGCAGCCACTGAAATGTGCACAAGTAGCTGGAAATTTTAGAAAATTAAAGTGCACTACTCATATACCCACAATGTTTCTTGACACTACTCATTTTTAGGTAAACTTTGCATTCAGTCAATAATGTTCCAATAGTTTTATCTTAAGTAAAGTCAATTCAATAACATTTTATTTATTTTATGTAATTTTTCATATGATTTATTTAAGAAATATAAGGCTACAAGAAAACTGCTCTGTTAGATTTATAGCTACACTATACTTAAAGACTCCTACTTTCTCCAAGGCATGAAGAAATAAAATCTACTTCAAAACTAAGGAGAACATAGTAATTACTGTATATTAAAAGTTTATTAAAAGAAAAAAAAAATGTATTTCTTAAACACCAGCACAAACTTTATATTAGTAGCTCTTCAAGAATTTAGTCTATATCTGCTCAATTACCAGTGACTATGATGACTTTCCCATTCCCTGACACAAGAATCCAGAAATCTTACATATTTGTAAAGTAATAAGGTTCACATACTGAATGAAAACATTTAATATTTTATGCAATAAGAATAAATCTCTTATTCAACAGAATTAACCCAGGAAAATTTGAATCTTGTGATCTATAACAAGTTGTTTAAAGTTGTGATATGACAAAATTAACAGAAATTAAGGCACAGTTGGGCAAGACATGAATATCTATATATGTGCAGAGAAAAACATAATTTTAACAGCATATTTCAAAAGTTAACTATATCAAGAGTAATAACTATTACATTAGCATCAGTTGATTTTAACAGTTGTTATAACGTATGGAGTTTTTACATATTACAGCAGCATTTTATATAACTTCTAACTCTACAAATGCTTTGCCTTCTAGGATACAACCATTCAATTTCATATAAAACAGCAGTTAATAAATTTAGTCCTACTTCTCAAAAACACCTAATTTGTCACACCTTAGAAAAACAACATTAATTTTTCTCTTCTTGAACAAAGCACTCCTTCCCTTGTTTAACACTTTTTGCATAAAGACCAGAATTTGAGAAAGGAAACTAACAATTTTTAAGTACAAACAAATACCACAGACAAAGAAAACAGTGACAACTCAAATTTAAAATCTTAAAATCTTAACAACATATTAAATTCTTTTTACTAATCACTGTAAACCTTTTGCTTGATTTATAACTTGATTTTATAGTTTTTAGTACATTTTTTTAAATACTAGACTAGCCATTGATCTTTTTCTTCTTAGAATAATTCAGAGAAATAAGTTTTAGACCTTTAAGTTATTTTAACAAAAGATCAATCGTTAACAAAATATGCTTTCACTTCAAGATTTACTAAAGCCCTAATTTGGCCCCATAGTTTATATTTGTATAAAAAACAAAATTTACACATAAAATAAATATCACAATAAGATATACATCACACCAACATTTTGCCCTTTCAAGTGACATTTTAACCATTTATTGCCATCTTTCAACTGAGTATGTTCTTATATTTTAAGTTTATTCTAACCCTTAACACTTCAAATATCCTCCAAAGAGGCAATAATATGCAATCTAATAATTGGTAATATATGAAGTTAACATAGATAATTAAAGCACATACAAAAACCATTTATCAATAAGTGCAACTACTACAATTTTATCAAGTATTTAACCACACCACAGAAACTGTCAAATTTAAGTTTAATCTTGTAGATTTGTGATATGAAAATACGGTACAGTACAAAATTTAAGTAAAAAACTGAAGTAGCACTGCAACCTAGTCATGCTATATTATGTTTTAGGTAAACTCTCAGGCATGTTCCTAAACACTAGTAAACATCAAACATGGAAATTCATGAGATTTTAACTTTCCTGGCTGAAGAAATTCTACACACAAACACGTCAAAACAAGTGAAACCAATTTAATGATCTCTTTCTAAAGTCACCTATGTCATTATGTTGCTGTAGCCTTCATTGCACTGATATAGATCTGTTTTAGTTCTACCTTTGGTCGATTTTCAAAGAGTGCAGCCCGATTCTGGGCTTCTCCTCTCTTTACCCAGTGGCAGTAGACACGGAAAGCACAGCCATCAATAACCTGAAGCAATGGAAGCATAACTGTCAGTGTATTTGTCTGATTCTTACTGATACAATTTAATAAGAATAACCATTCCAAGAATAATGTTAATCTATTCTTTCACGAACAAATTGAAATATATATAGACACTTTTTTCATCAGTTTCTTATGAACTGAGGACAGAAAGAGCAACAGATTATTCCTTGTTTTCATTTCAAGTAATCTTGTTCAATAATTTTATGGAATATCCCTCAAGGAGTGTGAAAAAACAGTGAGGAAAAATGCCTCTTTTTACAAATTGCAATTTTAAGACAATTCAGTAACAAAATATTGAGACAAAATTCATAAATTTTACCTTCGTGAGATTTTTCTTCATAAAAATCTTTTTAATTTTAATCACACAAGAATAAGAAGAAACAATTTGAAAATTTGTTACTTGAAAAATGTTAAAAAACAAACTATATTCACACATCAAAAAAGGAAATATGGGTGATTTACAAAAGTAAACAAAGAAAATAACACAATTTAAACAGAAATCCTGATTTGTAAGTGATTCAGTTTCCTAATACTTCTTCGGATTTATAATGTTTGTTTTAGTAAGTTTATTTTAACGATTTGAATTCTATTTAGTATTCAAAAAGAACTTCTGAAACCACACTAACATTTATAAATGTATCTATCTTAGACAGGATACATAATCAATAATCAGAGTTACAAAAATATTCACCCAAAACATTTAATCATAATACAAATACTGTTTGTTGGACATTTTGAAAAAATTACCTTTCTAAGAGTTTTAATCCTATAGGGGTCACTACATGCAACGTCAATAGATAAAGGTTCAGGGGTATGTTTCAGTCTTTTGAGACGCACCATGGCCCGTACACATAGTATTCCAAACTAGAAAAAGCAACACAAGAATCCTTTTAAAAATTAGTGTTCAAGAAATCACAGGAAAACAAACATACATATAGAGATTAAGCACTAGAATATTAAAATAATGAAAACAATTATAATAATAGAAACAATGCATGACAGATGAACTTTCTTACAATCTTTGTTTTCTCCTTAAGATATCACGGCAAAGAGATTTTTTCTTACGTTTCTGAAGGTTAACCTTTACCTAAACCGAAAATATATTTCCAATAATACTTACCACTGCTGACACTATAGCTATTTCTTGATCTCCAGGGTTTCCACTCTTTGAATATGCTTGCTCCAGTATTTATATACCCCACTCAAATGCCCTTGGCAAATTCTAATTTGCAAAATTCTCCATCAACTTCAATGTGCCCTCTATCTAGGTACTGTATATAAGCACCTCATTCAGATAATGTAATCACTTATTCAAGACATAAACTGACATTTAGTGGGGAGGTAGGGCAGGAGAGTGTCAGCGGAGGTAAGTATTATTGGAAATATATTTTCAGTTTAGGAAAATGTTAACTTCCAAAACATACCTCCGCTGACACTATAGCTAGAATCCCACACTGAGAAGGTGGAGGGGCTGGTGCAGGCATGAATAATACAGAAAGCATCTGTATAGAACAGGAGTGTACCAAGATAAATACGGTACAAGAGTGGAGGAACTGCCCTACATCCAGAACAGGTGTGCTCTTCACCTGGAACTCAATTCCTCTATCAAAGGTGGAATAGAATAAAAGTAATCATCAGTATAGGACAGCCCCATCCAGATAGCCAAAGTCCCACAACTCGGGGTTCGAATTAAGGGGTTGTGGTATATATATATACACACACACTTTTGATTGGATCCCAACCTGTAGCCATAGAGTGATGAGTTTCACATCACCGGAATCAGGCGAGAAAGTAAGCAACACCAAAGTGTACAAACTTTCTCCTCCACCTGAAGTAGTACAACAGGCAACACTCTCCAGGCTACGAATGACAGGATCGTGTATGCCGTACTGAACCAAAGGAACAGAACTCATCCAATCTGGAATTATGAACATTCATCCTCACTCCCCATCCAAGTGGGTGTGGAGTATTCCACTTGCCCCTGGAATTATGGAGAGGATGTGGAACCTGTGCTCAACCAAGGACCTAGGATGGAACCACTTTGCATTCGGAATTATGAGGAGATAGTGGACCTCCTTCCATGAACAATATATGAAACCGACACTCATCAAAGAGAAGGGCCATGCACCCCCAACTGGATAGCTTTGTGTCAAACCAGAATTATGAGTAGGCTTCCGTGGAGGTTGGTGCTACTCCTACTGACATCTGGGAAAAACATCCAAGGACCCAAGTAGGAGGGCTCCCAACTTCGCCCTCTTCTCCAAGAGAGGAGGAACACACTTAACTACTCTGTCCACCACCCTAGAGACTGGAAACTGAAGGTGGTAAGGACTCCGGAGCTCCACTAATAAAGTCTAAGGTGGTAATATGTGTTGGGGAGTTCTGAGGAACAGTGCTCTGGAAACTGTGCAATAGGTAAACTAAGTTCCATACATTTTTAAAAGTAAACCAACCCCGATTTATTCAACCTGAAGATCGGCAGGGACGGGCAGGATCCCCTTTAGCTTTACTTATGATAGTCCATGAGTGGCAGTTCACAATAATATGGTAAAATCATCTGGTAGGTGCCTAGATGGTCTTATGGAACACCCCATTTTGAAAGAACCTGTTGCAACCTCTAGTAATTATAGTGAAAGTGGTTGCTAGTGTGAAATTGAAAAGAGAAAGCATACCTGCCTGGGAAACACTTGCCACAGAGTGGGATCCAATAAAAAATAAAAGGACCCTGGAAATAAAAGAGTATATGATTGAGGAAAATACTCACCTCTGGTTAAAATCTAACAGATGTGGTCAAAGTAGCTACAGGGGGAAGTCGAAAACCCTCAGAAGAGGAAACTGCTAGATCATGTAAGTGATGAGAAAGGAAAGTATTAGGAGTAGTCCACATACCAGCCTACACATTGTCTTCCAGAGGGCAATTCAACTGGGTGGCTAATGACGTAGAGATATGAAGAATCTGGTGAGATGTGACATGCAAAAGATTCCTCTCCTGTATTGATAATCCATTATAGGCCATGTGAATCAATTTACGAAGCCACCTCGTTATGGTAATGGGAGATAAATCATGGGAAACAGAAGGAATCCAATGAATGAACAATCAATTCCTACTTCCTCAAAATGAGTTAGTATGAGCCACACAACACTTAAGGGCCCTAACAGGACATAACAAATGATCAGGATCAGAGCAGTCATAAAGGTAAGACATGGCTGGCAAATGGATTGGTAAGAAGGATCTTTCCCCTTCCCTGGCTGCCAGAGTCTTGGGAAGAAAAACCTATTGGGGTAAAGCAAGACAAATGTGGAATGGTAAAGAGTCCGATGCACATGGATTGCAAACAATTTCGACCGACAATGTTCACAAGCCAACAACAACAAAAAATACAATTTAAGAGAAAGGTGAAATAAAGAACATGAAGCTAAGGGCTCAAAGGGAGGATGAGACAGTACATGTAAAACAATTGTAAAATTACAATTCAGTTAATTGAAAAGATCATTTGGGTCGAAGAATACGAAAGGATTTGAGTAGACCTGATAGTACTGAGGATTCAAAAACCTTCCAATATTTGGAATACTGAAATATATAGTGGATAAGGATACCTTATATAAATCCACCATAGATAAAGCAAGACCCTTCTCAAATAACCAAGTTATAAAATGGGAAGTGGTAGATACTTTAGGATAAAGAAGATTTAAATTCCTTTTAATACACCACTGACGATAAGTATTCCATTTCCACTGATAACCAGCCATTGTTGGCCTATGGAGAGATTTAGTTAAATACAGAGAAACCTTAGAAGAAAAACTCTTATGTCGGGTAAAGGACCATATAACTTCCAAGCATGAAGATTGAGTTTCCGAACATATGGGTGGAGAATATCTGATCGAGGTTGTCTCAACAGAGACTGCTGATGTGGAAGAGGTAGAGGTGGACATTCCTGCAGATACCGAAGAAGCAAAAATCACTTTTGAGCTGGTCAATATGGTGCAACCAAGAGAACTTGACAGAGAGTTGAACAAACCATAGTCAGAACCCAGGACATAGCCAAATCAGGGGAAAAGCATACAGATGTAAACCTGTCCAGTCCTGACTGAATGCATCTACTGCCAACACTTGAGGATGAGGTATCAGAGACCAAAACAACTACAGTAAAGAATTCCAATAAGTCGCAAAGGCATTGACCGTTGGAGACCCAAACTGAGAGCAAATTTACTGAAAAATCTTGTGACGTAGCATCCATTCCATTGGAAGAATCCAGTTGGGTTGAGACAAGGGATCTGCAATTAACTTCATTACTCCTGGAACATGACATGCTAAAAGACTGATATATTGGGAATGAGCCCAGTAAAGAAGATCCAAGGTACGAAAACAAAGGTCTCAAGAATGTGTGCCTCCTTGACAAGAAATCTGAGATACCACCGTGGAATTGTCAGAATGTATCATAACAATTTTTCCCTTCAAGAGAGACAGACCTTGAATCATTGCCAGTGTACTGCAAGGAGTTTGAGAACATTAATATGGCGGGTAGACTCGTCTTCTGTCCAAATACTCTGGAATTTTTGACCTTGAAGATAAGCTCCCCATCCTTGAAAAGATGTGTTTGTGAACAGATGGATCTAGGAATGATGGTACCCCAATGGTAGTGTTGTTCCGATCCAACCACCATTCACAATCAATGATGTTGCTCCTGAATAATGATGGCTCTTTCCATGGCTTGAAGCCTGATAGGAGTTGGTTGAGCACGATTTAAGTGAGTATTGAAAAACACACCCAGGTGGCAGAGATATTGCGTCTGTGATGGAATAGCTTTCTCCAGTCTGATAAGAAAGCCTGCTTTTGTGGCTTCTGAAAGGAGAATCTGAGAGTGTTGTTCTGTTAATTGATGGGATGGTGCCAGAAGGAATCAGTCATCCATATAAGGATGTGTACACAGGTCCAAGGAATGCAGATGACGAGAAAAAGCTTGAACAACTCTGCAGAAGACATAAAGTGCTGATGCAAGAACAAAAGGTAGAGCACTGAACTACAGCACCTGATCCTTGTGCATAAATCTGAAAAACCTTTGGGAAGATTTCACTATGGGAATATGGTGATAAGCATCGGTAACATCAAACTTGGTCTTCCAGAGCCCTGGCACAAAGTGCCATCGTAGGTTGAGAAAAGATTTCATTGTAAAGCGAGGAGCATCTAAAAACTGGTTGAGTCGAGATAGATCGATGATTGGATGCCAATCTTCTTTGGTACAACAAATAAACAGGAATAAAATCCCGGAAGAATGGGATCAACCCTCTCTACCTCATTGAAGTTGATATAGAATTTTGCAAATTAGAATTTGCCAAGGGCATTCGGGTGGGGTATAAAAGACTGAAGCAAGTGTTTTCAATGCGTAGATGGGCAAAGAGTGAAAACCCTGGAGTTTGAGAAATGGTTATAGTGTCAGCGGAGGTAAGTATGTTTTGGAAAAATGCTAATTGCAAAGTAACTTAATGAAAAGTTAAGTTAATGACATACACACACATGAACAAATGTTTGATTTACAATTTTAAATGTATGAATTGTTTACATGGCTAGATAGCAGAATGTTTAGCTTTGAAAACAAGAGGTTGCAGATAAAACAAACTTTCTTTATCATATCATTCTGAAAGTTTCAAAAGTAAAAATTACATTGGATGAGCTGAAATCCAAATTTTACAAACTGTTTATATTCTGTAGAAATATTTTAGTTTTGTTTATAGTTATCTGTAAATTTCTTGTTATTTCAGACAAGTATTATCGATCTTATGTTCATTTACTACAAAAGAGGTTCTATGAAACCATACAGCATTGCAATAAAAGTAAAAACATCACTTACCTGAAATGTTTTCTTTGCATTAAATTTTCTTCCCTTTGTTGTCTAATAGAGAACAACACAAGTTTAATTGATGGATATAAAATTACAGGTAACACGAGTACTTTAAAACAAAGCTATGTTTTGTGTACAGTGTTTGAATTGTATTTAACACACCACAAGTAAGCTAGATTTATACACACATTTGACACACATTAATACATTCTTCTATTTCAGGCCAGTATTTACTCTCATCAAAGGATTACATAATTTCCAGGTAGTTTTTACTTAGTTTTGAAAATTCTGAGTATTCAAAATTAATATGAAATATTATTTGATAGCCATTATATACAAATATAATTTGATATTTCTTATACATTAAAGGATCACTTAAGAGTAAATCCCTTAGGAGTCTTGATTCATAGAGAAAAATGATTACTTAGAGTAAATTACAGACCAGTATTACCAACTTTCAAGAGCATTTAAAGCATTTCAGAGGTTCAAACACTTAATGTTTACTAGTAACTAATAAAAATAAAAGTCGGAAGAATAGCTATTTTCAAACATATTAGTTTCATAAAGTTAAAAACTTGCTCTACTTACTATTATTTGAAAGAATTCATGTTTTAAAGCTTCTGAAACAGTTATTCTTTTTTTTGGGTCTGCAACAAGCATTTGTTGTATCTGCAGAAGAAGAATTATGACTGTCAGCAAAACAAAACTACCCTCATGAAATAAACAAGCAATGTGTGTTCTATGATGACTATTTGTAAAACAGTTGAATTCAATAACTAAAATACAAAAAAAAACACTCATTAAACAGATACAAATATAAAAACACATGTAAACATTAGTATAGATATAATGTAAGGACAAATCAAAGTATTTTGAGCTCAAACAATTATTGCACTCAAATAAAATTAAAAATTCATTAATCACATTTATACTTGGATCATTTATTAATTAGAATTTTATGGAATTTCCATATTAACATTTTTGGCTTAATATTATGCTTGTTTCTGACAGAAGATTTTTGGAGAATCTAATTTACATGGTGAGAATCACTTAATATTGTATTATCTAAAAAAGACAACTGCTTATTATGTTTCTTAAAATAATTGTGCATGTGGATAGCCTCCCTATGATAGTGATTATATTTTCATTTTTCCTGTTCTCTTCCAATATACTGTACAAATGTGTGTATATATATTTTGTTTTGTTTTCGTGTGAAAAACAAATTACCTTTCGTTTCATTACAATTGAACTAGTGACGAAATGACCAGAAATGAAAAACAATTGAATATGAAGAGTAAAAAGAATAAATCAATCCTTAGTTCTCACAGGTAGTAATTTTACTAAAAATAGAGAAAAAAATCCAAAAACAGATTAAATATTAATTAATCTCTCTAGACAGCTCCACTCAATCAAGTTTTTATATCATAGTAAACTTTGAAAAATCATTTGAATTTCTTTGTAAAGAGGTACAACTGTTTCAACTTTTTTTTTTCCACTAGCAAAGTGAAGTAAAGTATATTGTTAGTAGGTAGAATTGTAACAGCTCTCTCCACTGGCAAAGTGGAGTAAAGTCTATTGTTAGTAGGTAGGATTGTAACAGCTCTCTCCACTGGCAAAGTGGAGTAAAGCTTAATGTTAGTAGGTAGGATTGTAACAGCTCTCTCCACTGGCAAAGTGGAGTAAAGTCTATTGTTAGTAGGTAGAATTGTAACAGCTCTCTCCACTGGCAAAGTGGAGTAAAGTCTATTGTTAGTAGATAAGATTGTATCAGTTCTCTCCTCTAGCAAAGTGGAGTAAAGTCTATTGTTACGAGGTACAACTGTTTCAACTCTCTCTACTGGCAAAGTGGAGTAAAGTCTACACTTTATAGAGAAAAATATTAATAGATGATATAAAATGAAAAAAAAAATTTATGTAGAAGAATAAAATCTAATCAAATCTAAAATTTATTTACAAAAATTGTATTAAGATTTCTTATCTTTTGTTGAAGAAATGGTTATGTTTTTAGTGTGCATGCTACAATAATACAAGTAGGCCCACTGACTTTTAGCAGTATCTCATGTACAAGTCTTAGAAAAATGCACTTCTAATTTTTGTTTGATTTCACGACACGTACCTGTACAAAAAGTAATACATAATTAGAATAACTACATTGTTCAATTTACTAGTTTCTGAACAAAAGGTTCAACTTATGAAACAACCCGACTTAAACCAGTAAATATGGGAACATGTGAAAAAGGCACACACAGAAACATTTATAGATTCACAAAACACATTCAAAGCAAAACCACATACGTGGCATAATAAAAACATTTTCCTAATAAGCAGTAATTGAACAAATACATATTCTACGTCAATGTTCAGTATGTGTGTGTGTGTGTATATATAGATTTATATACTTATTGTACAATTTCCTACAATACTGGTCATAAGCCTGAGCCCAACAACACACACACAAAATGAGGACTAATTGTTCTATAAGAACTGATAGAGTGGGTTGTTGGCTTTTTAGTACATAATGGAATATCCGTATTCTGTTCACTGTGGGTGACTGAACTCCAGATTTTAGCATTTTAAGTCTAGAAACTTACTGTTGACTCAGTGGGGGACTACAATATTAATGGCAACTTTTTTGCTGTATTTCTGCATTTTACACAGATTACTTTATAACTATAACAAAAATAATTGGTCATTTCATAAATATTACTTCGTTAGGACTGCACATCAACTACTGAACACGATGAAATGTGGACTGAGTGGACTTCCACAGATACAATTTCATAACAATACATTTTTTTCTCACACCTGTCTTCAATCATTAACACTTTTCAATTGAAATAACTATAGTGTATAACTAGTACAGAGGCAACATCATCCAAAGATTTTAAAAAACTATACCCAGTTAAAAAGTTTGTGTGTTTGTTGTTAAGCACAAAGCTACACAATGGACTATCTGTGCTGTGTCCTTCATGGGTATTGAAACCTCATTTTCAGACTTATTGCTGATTCACTGAGGGGGGGATTGCATAAAACAGAAAAATGTAATTTATAATGAAGCAGTGAAAAAAACAAGCACAAATTATTGGGTTACATAATAAAAACTCAAATGTGTAATTGTTCAAAAACCTTGTGTTTCAAAGGGTGTAGTTTATACAACTTCAGCTGCAATATTAGAAGAGACATCTTCGCACACAATCAGATGGGAGAAAAGTGTCATTCTTCAAAGTTATAATTTTCCTATACTGAAAACGTATTTCTGATAGGTACTTCCCTCCACTCACAAGATTAGTTATTCTTGTTCTTTGCTGTTCCCTATATGCAAACTTTTTATTTACACATGCCACAAGCCTTCTGCTTCTCCCTATTGGAATCAAGCGATTCCAATGTCTTTCATTTAAATCATCATGCATCACGTCTCCACCAATAGGAGCATACTACACTCACGTGATGCATGTGACTTCTCTCTATGTGCCTCTACTGATCTATCACTTTGAAGTTTGGCAGAAAACGGAAGCACTGGAAGTGTGTGGGGAAGAAGGGTGAGAAGAGGGAAGTACCTATCAGAAATACATTTTCAGTATAGGAAAATTACAACTTCTGATACAGTACTTCCCTCTTCTCACAAGATTAGCTAGAATCCCATATTGATTAGGAGGAAGGACCAGTGTGAGGGAAGAACATATGTACCCCCAAAAGCGTCTGAAGGATACCTCCTTAGATGAGAGAGACAGATCTGAAGAGGGGAACCGCACCACTTCTAAGCCAGGTATGCTCTTTGCTCATGTGTAGAATGTGTAAGATATCAGGGTGGAAAATGAGAGGAGCACATCTGAGTGGGAGAGAATGTGGTTAGAAAGTGATCCTAACCAGAGAAAGATATTGTAACTCAATCCCACAATGAGAAAAGTGGGTGAACAAGGATGCGCTCCTGGATGTAGAGTGGCTAGAGTGTGGCAGACTGTACTCGGTAAATCAACTACATCTAAAACTTCCTTGTGGGTACTGACATCTGCACGAGGGTAGGCTGAGGATCATACCATCTTCGCCTCCAAACCCAAGAACCGGGGAATTGAGAACCACTCCAATTCCCGAGTATGACACAAGGATTAGCTCTGAGCTATCAATCTGGGAACGTGACATGCAGTATTGAAAGGATGTCTATTGCATACAATCAACTCCCCAACCATGAAACAGGCTGGGACTTTCCAAACGGCAATAATATTCCTGTAAGAAGAGAGAACAAGGGATAGCCAAGGATAGAATCGCAACAATCCCACATACCACCACTGTGACCCTTAACAGAGATGGAGGAAATCGAGGAAGGAAGATACACAACCCAAAATCTGTGTGAGGACCTATGTTGATTGATTCACTCTAAATCCAACACCAGGCCACAGGGCAGTAGAATGAAAGGGATGAACTCCATTTTCGATGGCTCAAATCCAGTGGTTATGCAAGTGGTATAAGGAGGCCAGATCATCCAGCAAGGTGACGGCTCAACTCCTCTAGAGGCAACAGCTCATCTACATCAGAAGAACACCACTGCCCTACTTTCGACTGAATGGTTATAGCCATCTTTTTGTGGAACCCATTCAGGAGAGTGTCTCCACAGTCAACCACTCCAGCAGCTTGGAACTGGAAAGTGGTAAGAACTCCCACACTCCACTAGAAGAAAGGAGAGTGAATATGCGGTGGAGAGTCTGGAGGAATGCCACCACTGGAGACAGTGCAATGGGTGACCATGAAACCCTATTTTGAAAAGCAAACCATACTGCTTTATTCAATCAAGGCATGGCATGAATGAGCAGCTAGGTACAGAACAGGCATGTTTATGAAGCAAAAACATCACAAGGTTATTCACCTTCAAGCGATCTTGTGGAATATCCGGTGAGCACTGCAAAGCCATGGAAGAGAGTGCAATTCAACATGGCTGTACAGTGCAGATTTCAATTGAAGGATACCTGCTCAGGCACTGCTCACCATGAAGCGGGATCCAAATAATGAAAAATAAAGCAAGGGCCCCTGAAAAGAAAGAAATAATAAATAGAAACTTACCCAGTTTGAGATGCAATGAAGTATGAAAAATGGTCACAAGTGATAGACGAAAACCTGATGAGGAAGAAACCACGATATGGTGTAGATAAGGGGAGATGAACGTATTAGGTATAGTCCTCATGCCCCAATGTAGGAGTGCCCAAAATAGCCAAGGAAGACGAAATGCCAGGAAAAAGGTAAAGACATCGAATCTGATGAGAAGACACCTGGAACAAAGTTCGGGAAGAAGACAATAAAGGGGAGTAAGCCAAAGGATCAAAAGCCAAACACAATTGGTGAGGGCAGAAGAAGAAAGATCTTGACTCGAGGAAAACTGCCGAGGAATAAAAAGGTGGGAGCAGGCACCACGAAAAGAAACCATATGCAATAGAACAATTAAGAGCACAGACCATACACAGGAGTCGATCCAAATTGGGACGAGGATAAAGAAAGAAATGATATGACGAGAATTAGGCAAAAGGAGGAGTTACCTCCCCTAGCTGCCAATGTCTTGGGTAAGAAGTAAAGATCTGGATAAAGGAGAAGAGAGAGTGGGAAAAATGTATGAGAAACATCATGGGAAACAAATGCAACCTCCGATGCACACAGGCATAGAGGAGAAAGCTCCACAGTAT